ATAAGAGCATTATACGAACTTATTATGCTAGAGTTTACATATAGTTCACAGTCTTTTTGTAGCCTGAGCTAGGTTAAAAACCTGTGTTTCAGGCGAAAAAAGCTCACACATTAAATAGTAATTAAATATGAATTAACTATAAATATTAGTTTTTGTATAACGCCTGAACAAAAACAAATGGTATATTTTGGTGTTATACATAGATTTCGAATATAAAAAATATATAATTTAACTAATTAAGACATGACAAAAAAACTGAGGTATGTCTCGTTTCTGTCGGGCCTGGGTCACAGATGACCGTTCTTCTTTGTTCCATTCGACATTTTTGTAGCTAATTATAAATGGGGAAGGGTTTAAGTACTCACCTCAAGGTTAGACTGTTCTATTTCTTCCTCAGTAGGCCAAGTCTGCTCTGCATCCATTGGATCAGGGACATTCTCCGTCACTAAGCTCTCTTGTTTAGCAGGGTCAGCTACTTGCAAAACAGACACTTTCGTAACCTCTGCATCCATCGAATCTGCTTTAGTGTTCTCTCTGCCCAAAGTGAGGGGGTGTGGATCATCTAATCCATCAATTCTTGACATTTGGAAATCACCAAGTCCAGCAATATGCACCAGTCCATTGACATTCAACGGCATGCCACGTAGGTAACCGCTAACTTTCAACGTACCACTCTCTCCTTCAGCATCAGGAACGTAATCTACTTCTTCAGCCAGCATGTAAGGTCTCTTTTCCCTGTGATGAAGGATGTTACGTTTCTGATTGCCTATTCTACGTATTATATTCAGTCCATCCGAACTTTTGTCTAACTGCAGAACTTTTTCTTCTGGAAGCCATTTAGAGACTAACTTTTGGACGTTTTGCTTTTCAGTGGTTCGTTTCTTTGGGTGTACTCCTTCAATATCCATAGCAGCCACCACAGGTGTGGGCATTCCTTGGGCCATGGACAAGGCCAGAACTTTCTCTCCCCATTCATCCACAGGCTCATCCAAGGCAGAGCTAACATAGAGAGCTGTGTCTGCTATTTTGAGGGCATCAAGAAGTGCAAAATCATCATCTATTTCTGGGCATATAAATGAGAAACGTTGCTTGAAGTTTGGTAAGCTGGAAAAATATATTTGGAAATGTAAAAATTTGTAAATTTGTATTGTAAATGTAAGAAACTTTTATATTTGGGATTTTGGGCTCAGTAATTTAACTCAGAAGTAATCTAATGTTCAGTTCTAAAACTTTAAAAACATTTTAACAAAGATAAAGATTTTAATAATTATTTACCCAATATGCACCACACCATTTTCTGACTCCGTAACAATAGCTCCTTCGGAACATGTCTTCAGTATAGCTAGGGCTGACTGCACGTCCAGCTGAGCGTTCAATGGCACGACACAGATTAAAAATGGTGGGTTTCGAGTACCACCCAAAGCACGCTTCTTGGATAAAACCTCTTCGCGCTTATTTTTGCGAAGCTGCAAGGCTTGGTGGCGACGTTCTTCTTTCTTCAATATGTGACGATTGCGTCGACCAAATTCCTTGATTTCAGTTTTACCTAGAAACATAAAAATAACATGATTTTATAAGTATCAAAATCTGGCATTTCGAAATTAGTTGACTAGAAGATGCAACCGTTGCTTGACTCCACAGTTTTTTAAAGATTTTAAGTCATTTTAATAAAAATATTTTTTAAAAAAGCCCAATTTAATATCGTGACCTAACCTTTTACGGCTGCCGAAATGCCCCTTTTAGAACGGTGGCGGGATTTGTGAGCCTTGTTGCTCTGCTTTAGGGTTCCAGGACGATGAGCTTGCTGCATTTTAGCATGGAAATTTTAATACTTGCTGAAAATTCACCACAAATTATTTTTTCTATTTACGAAACGCACATGGTAGAAAATCGCATTTAAGTTTGTCAGTTTTGACACTGACAACTTATTATTGACAGTGACGTTTGTGTTTTTTTTTACTTTGTTGATAATGGCTTAGAACCATGACCACAGATATGGATTAGAGTAGATACAGCAAGTTGATCGTCAAAGCGTGCCATTCCGATATGTCCAAATGGACATACATGGTCGAGTGATGTTCATGTAATCCGATTACAACAATCGGTTACGATGATTTTACGAGAACACGGTAGAAAGAGGATATTATTTACGGATTGAGAATTGTAATTAACAGCACAAGTAGCAAATAATTAATTAGAATAAAGTAGCAGTAGAAGAAGTATAAAGTAGCATTGTTTTTAATACATATCCTGCGATGTACTCTTAAGAGTTAAAANGTTTGCGATGGCATTTTGACTAGACCCACAGTATTTTGGAACTATATAAGGAGATGGAGTTTATTTTTGGTCGCGCAATGAGGGGCCTCAACTTGAGGCCATTCATCAATGGTTGTGGACGTGGTTCATTGAGGCCATCAACACAAGCAGAAAAGATTTTATATCTGCATACACTGTCTGCGCTGCTGACTTCTCGTTGCGTAGTTGGACTGACACAAGATGCTTTCTGTCTCGTTTGCAAACATTTAACACGTTTATATCAATGTGATTAAGTCACACAATGAAAGTCGAGACGAACACAAACTCGCACTTTTGACGTGCTTTCTTTCGAGCCTCAACTCTAGCTGCGCGATTCACATAATGTGCTGGTGCATTTTTTGATAAATTATAGTATTTTACATTACTCATTTATGCAAAAACCCAGATGATAACTTACTTTAGTAGACAAGTGGCAAAACGTAGCAGTTTGTGATTACGACATGCTCGCTCCTCCGGCGTTTTTTTTGTGAAGCGAATCTTATAGCGAAAATCGAATCCCTTCACGAAGCAAGTAGGTACAACTTGAACAACTCCGTGAAGGGATTCGATTTTGGAAAGGATTTCCTAGGTCTGTGAAATTTTGGCACTCGAAAACAAAAAACAAACAAAAGCAAAAACTTGTTTCCTTGTCCCCACTTGTGTCACTTGTGTGTGGTAATTTATTCCCGCAGTTCCACCGGATCGGAGGAGTGGAGACAACGAGAATTTTGAAAATGTAATTCCCGTTGTCTCCTCTAATGATTTCACAATTTTTTTTTATACTTCACGTTAATTACATTATGTAATAATATAAAAATTAAATAGCATCAAGATCGTTTAATCCAGTTTCCCCAGTATTGCACACAACAAAGTTTATTTTCCCCGTTTGCCATGAGATTCTGGCACACCTTTAAGTACTTAAACAACAAATTAAATAAACATGAAAGTAAATATTATGAAATCATTTATTAAGATTTCTTAAGAAGATACAAAAAAAATCTAAATATATTTCCGTATGCTTGCGTAAAATGGATAACGTCATATNAAATTTCTTCTAAATCGGTTCAACGATTCTTGAAATAACACCATTTTATAAAATAATTGGTCACATCATCATAACGTGATCAATTTTACGATTTGGCCACGATATAATGCATTATAGTGTTAAATTTGATTTATTACTTATTAATCAATAAACTTAAATGAGAAAAATTCAATAAAAATAAAGAAAAGATACCAATTGAAATAATTATAAAATTATTTGTTTTCACCCGGTGTAAACACCCACGGGTGGAATAAAACGGGTTTTTATTGGGTTTTTACCCTCATGTGGGTTTTTACCCGGGTGGATACCCATCTCTAGATAGGCCCTGCCAGTCCTGACTGGTATACCACCGGTCAACAATACGACAAGTCAACCCCTGCGACAAGTCAACCCCTGTGACAAGTCAACCCCTGCGACAGTTCAACCCTTGCGACAACTCAATCACACACAAGTTCACACAACATGAATGCTTTCCCTATGGCTTTCCCTGACCATTTTAAATTCACTTGACCACTTTTTTAAACTGAAATTAATCATCGTCATCATCATTTCAGCATAGGACGTCCACTGCTGAACATAGGCCTTCCCCAATGCTTTCCATGTTGATCGATTGGTAGCGGCCTGCGTCCAGCGTCCAGCGCTTCCTTGCTACCTTTATGATGTCGTCGGTCCACCTTGTGGGTGGACTTCCCACGCTGCGTTTTCCGGTATGCGGTCTCCATTCCAGAACCTTGCTGCCTTATCGGCCGTCAGTTCTGCGTACTATGTGCCCTGCCCACTGTAGTTGTAGTTATTAAAGCGACAGAATCCCTGATTAATAAAACCTGAAAATTTAATTTATTAATCTAAGCAGAATCCTTGTAAACAGTTGACATCCCTTTATGAATCATAGCATTTTTCTTGTTTAGTGGTAATTTTATCACAGCGTGACTTAGCAGCGCGATGTTCGATTTTCTTCAATATTATCGCGTCAATCGTTTTGATAAGTCTTTCACAGGATAACTTGGGAAGTAATGATTTTTACAGTGTGATTTTTTCTATGTACTATACTCTCAGATAGTGTGGTTACCTGACTGCGCCAGAAGGAGAGTTATGTTTTTTTTCATAAAGTAATTAAATTACCCCCTTCATTAGTAAATGTCTTCGATACCGAGAATACATTGAAGGCCCCTTGTAGGTACCATTTGCTTTTTTTACTCTTTTAGGTATTTTGAAACGGTTTTTGGGCGATATTTTCAAATTTTTCAGGGCACCATAGATGTTGATCGTCTTATTTTCTCCGTCCGGGCGAGCTTTGCCAAATAGTCGAAGTCGGGGTTGACTTGTCGTAGGGGTTGAATCACAGTGGGTTGACTTGTCGGGCTTGAGTTGTCGTAGACAGGCTGAAGACAGCGCGGTGCCGTTTCGATATGGGTTGGTTGGGCAGCTGATAGGTGAACGATTTACCAATAGAATTACTTACCTCATGCTTGTTGAAGAACTTAAAGAAATAGAAGTAAATTAAGTACAAATCAAACAAAAGTTCAATTTAATTTTCTAAAACTTATAAGATATCAGAGAAAATCTAAATATATTTCCTTATGCTTCCGTAAAACGGATAATGTCCTGCNCGTCATATAAATGGCAACATTTTACACGCCAACATCACTGGTCACGTGACATGACGTTGTGGACGTGTCATTCGCGGACAGCTCGTTGGCGGCGTTGCGCAGGCTCTTTCTCGTAAAAGTCGTATTGGAGTGTTACTAATGAACAAAAGTTGAATGGTTTTAGTTCAATTGATCAGTGAATAACTTAGTTAGGATAGTTAAAACGAAATAAATCAAAATGGGAAGTGAGTATCATCTTTGTAAATCTCTAAAAATAGTTTTAACCAATTTTACACGTATTTTTAATTTTTCGTGTTAATATTCCTGGATAGTGGGTATTATGTGTTAAACGTGTTGTACAATGGTTCATTTTTCGTGTTTACAGTCAAATTTCTGGAAGTAATAAAGCCGTTTTGCAGTATATTGCCAGAAATCGCAAAACCAGAACGGAAGGTAAGTGCCCCGATTAATGTCGATATATCCTGTTTTACTTGATTCCTCTTGGTTTTATCGTGTTCATGATGCTATTCCTTCATGGATCAAGCTATAAATAATTAAATTCATCAGAAAAAATAAAGTGAAAGTAGAATACTAACCTCAAGTACTTTTGATTTGGGATAGATAACTGTACATCAGAAGCCTCTGTCTACTATTTGAACGTTATTTTTAACTGAATGCCTTGACTTTTCAGATCCAATTCCGAGAGAAAGTATTATGGACAGCAATCACATTATTTATTTTCTTAGTATGCTGCCAGGTGAGTCTTGCCACATAACCATTTTTTGGGAATACACCCATATGCTCCAATTAGCTTAATGTTACTTTCGAATTCTTATTACAACATTATCAAATTACTTTATGAACAATAATTACTTATTTCAGCATTTCCCATACGTTAATTTATGTTTTAGACATACGAATAAATTATACTTTCTAATATTACTAAACCCAATAAGTTTTTAATTTGAGTAATTCCATTAAGTTTATTACTCAAAAATCACAATGAATCTTTTAGGAATGATAGCAATAATGAATAATGTTTTTCCAGATTCCCTTATTCGGTATAATGTCATCAGACAGCGCGGATCCTTTCTACTGGATCCGTGTCATCTTAGCTTCGAACAGAGGAACACTTATGGAACTCGGTATCTCGCCAATCGTCACATCTGGTCTCATCATGCAGCTTTTAGCTGGTGCGAAGATCATTGAAGTTGGTGACACTCCAAAAGACAGAGCGTTGTTTAACGGCGCTCAGAAATGTGAGTGGTTTCTTCATTTATATTATTTTTAGACGATAAATTAAAATTGACCCTTAAAACTTTATTAATTGAATACATCATCATAAACAACATGAAAGTAGATCATGTTATTTCAGAATTTTGATTGCGATTTCATGATTAATTATTGTAAGAATCTGTCATATTTTATAATGTTTTTATTTACTGCATAAAATTTAAAATAGAAGGTATCTATTGCTAAACTGAATGAATACAATACAGTAACCACATGTATTTATTGTGAAGGCAAAGTGCCAATTCATTTCAATAGTTTGGAGGTGGCAGAATGCCAGTTTTTATTTATCCCAAAAATAAATAGTCCTTAAACAAATATGTACAGTCTACTTTACTACTCTAGTCTCATATCAATGATAAAGTAATGATAAAAAAAGATAAAATGTGTATGGTTAAAAAACAAATAAATACTTTATATGAATGAAATTTTGGCAAACATTAATCAATTTGCATTAAAAAAATGTAAGGATTGCCATATAAATAAATAAATAATATTCTAAGCAAATTTTGTACTGATAAATGAATAGGAACATTCTAAAAATACATTCAACATACAATATGTTATAAATAAGAACATTTTATTTCAGTATTTGGTATGGTAATCACTGTGGGTCAAGCCATCGTATACGTAATGACTGGCATGTACGGTGAGCCCAGCGAAATCGGAGCTGGTGTCTGTCTGCTTATCATCATCCAACTGTTTGTTGCTGGTCTCATTGTGTTGCTGCTTGACGAGCTGTTGCAAAAAGGTGGGCATTTTGACGTTTCTACACACATATTGTTGCAAATGTTCTCTTAGAATAAATTATGTAAGAATAAGAATAAATTTATTACTGTATAAAAACTTAGCCTAAACACGTACAAGTTTGTATTCTGTATAAACAATTTTAAATTGTAAAAATAATGGGCAATTTCTTGCACATAAAAGTATAACAACCAGTCAATCAATAAACGTAACTTTCACATGTCTTAAAGAAACTGTATTTTTTTTATCACATTTGGTACAGAGATGATAATGTCTTTGATTATTTGGTATAATTTATTAATTTATTCTGTACGTTATGATCATGGATGTCACAGCAGCAGTAACAGTTACACTGCTAAGTTTGTTTTTATTTTTACTTCTAATAGAAATGATACTGTTTCACAGTTTTTAAAACATGTTTTCTTTTCCATAGATTTTTAGTTTAATTTGTCAATTCTCTTCCAGGATATGGTCTCGGATCTGGTATCTCACTGTTCATTGCGACAAACATTTGTGAAACTATCGTCTGGAAAGCATTCTCTCCTGCTACTGTCAATACTGGTAAGCACTAAATCTTTTAATTCTGTAGCTAAGTTTGTTTTAGCCATTGCAGAGAAATCATGTTTTGAGGACAATACAGGGTAGTCGTAATGTTCTCTACCTTTGACTGTTGTCCCTTGCAACTGAGTTTAAAAAAACTAGTCATGGCGAAAGTTATAAAAATACTCCAGTTATAACATGATATTCAAATTGGTTGGTTTTTTAAAGTTCCAGACTCATAGGGTGCCAGCGATCCCAATATTGTAACTTAACAAGCCTAATTTAGTATTTTAAACATTTCTTTTTAATTTGATGCTATAACATTATCGTCAAGCTATTTCTGTGTTAATTTACCGCAGGCAAAAAAAAAGAGAAAAACACTGGTAAAAAATTTGCCCCACTGCTTACCACTTTTTCACTAAAGTACCTACTCGTAGAGACATTTGCCAAGTCCGACTCGCTTTGGGCTGTTTTTCTCAACTGTTTTTTCAGAAATAGCCATTAAATTGTCTCTATTGCAGGGTTAAAAGTAATTCTAGAACATGTTATAGTGCTTTTAAAAGCCTATTTAAAAAAAACTCCTTATAATCGTCGGCCGTTTGGTGTAGTGGTTCGAAGCGGACTACTATTCCGGAGGTTGCGGGTTCGATTCCCGCACAGTACAAACATTTGTGTGCATGAACATATTTATTTGTGTTGGACTGGGTGTTATCTATGTATAATAATATGTATGTATTTACAAAAAAAAAAGTATTTAAGTATGTTTATATCCGTTGTCTAGTACCCATAGTACAAGCTTTGCTTAGTTTGGGACTAGAAGCGCAGTGTAAAATGTCCAAAAATATTTATTATCATTATTATTATTATAACTATTCACCACAGGCCGCGGCACAGAGTTCGAGGGCGCCGTGATCGCACTATTCCACTTGCTAGCCACGCGACCCGACAAGGTGCGCGCGCTCCGCGAGGCCTTCTACCGCCAGAACCTGCCCAACCTCATGAACTTGCTCGCCACTGTACTCGTCTTCGCGATAGTCATATACTTCCAGGTGCGTATGAGTTGGATAACTTTTACTTTTAATCGTCGTTTCAGCCAAATGAGGGCTATCGTTTTTATACTTAACAATGGGCACCCTTGGCGATTGACAGGACCTTACTCTACAGTGGCACCATCTTGATGAGTGCAAATGCGATAGTCCTCCTACCACTTTAGCGCTCACCAGTTGGTGCCACTGTCTTCGCTACTAAAGCCTGGTCCGTGACCACGTAGAATTTTGTCCAATGACCCCAAGCTACCCATCCTTATCGCTCGCGCGTAATTATGTTGCTGTCGCGCTCGCACACTCATTGCGGGCGCCCGTCGCACAGTCGCGACAGCAATATAATTACACGCGAGCGATAAGGATGGGTAGCTTGGGGTCATTGGACAAAATTCTACGTGCTCACGGACCAGGCTTTAGCAAGTGACAGGACCTTACTCTACAGTGGCGCGGTTACGTCCATTGCTGGACAAAAGCTCAGTGGCGGCGTTGCATGGGTGATTCCCCCCCGTCAATTTAAGTTGGGTATTACATATTGTAGCGCGGGGCTAAGGCTCCCCAGAATTTGATTAGATGAAAGAGACGAAGAATGATGAAGAATGACGAATGAGCTATAAGTATGATACCAATTGTCTGTGATTTCTAAAATTTATTAATAAAAATCCCGTTGCAAAAAATTTAAGACTAACTAGAAAAATTTTAGACTAACTTTTTAGGGCTAAAATAAAATAATTTGAAAATTCAAATTTAATTCCCGCTCTAGGCAGTTAAATTTTTTCAAGTTATTTATAATTTTCAAATTAGTTTGAGATGCAAGTCTTAAATTAAATAACTAAAATAAAATAAATTTAATTTTGAGAGCAAGCACGCAAGACCCCTTTATCGAGGGATCCGATTGCTTATTGTAAGTTTCCATTTCATATGCTATCTATAATAATAGGTTAAGTTTCGAAACTTCGAAGGCAATAAATTATGTTCTTATTCTCCCATAGGGCTTCCGCGTGGACCTGCCCATCAAGTCGGCGCGCTACCGCGGCCAGTACTCGTCGTATCCCATCAAGCTGTTCTACACCTCCAACATCCCTATCATTCTGCAGTCTGCGCTAGTTTCTAACCTCTACGTCATTTCGCAAGTAAGTACATAAGTTTGTATTTGTGTGCTGTTTTTTTGACAGATATCGTTCGTTTCGAAGACGTCCACTGCTGGACAAAGGCCTCCCCAAGGATTTTCACAACAACCGGTCCTGCGTTCGCATCCAGGCACCTTCCGCGACCTTCACCAGATCGTGCATACATAGTTTGACAGATATAAGCCGCTATTTTTGGCAGATATAAGGGGGCGTCCATTAATTACGTGAGACAATTTTGGCCATTTTTCAACCCCCCCGCCCCCTTTAGTGAGATTTTCCCAGACCCCCTCCCCCTCCCCACAATCTCACGTGAGATTTCTTAAAATACATATTTGCAATGTAAATGGGTTATCTACGAGTATTGACATTTAAAAAAGAAACCTATTTTTCCAATTTCTCTATTGTTTTTAGACGGCTTAGAATAAAAAATTTAATAATTTATCATTATCATACCCGCCGCTGTGGTCAGGCGACGGGTTATGTGGAACTCTCCCTGCCAGAAGGGCAAGGCCTACCCACTAAAACAACCACGAATGTCCTTCTTTCTTTCTGGACATAGGGGAAATGCCGGTATAGCGAACTTTGTCCCGATTTCCCCCTATGCCCAGTTTGTCTGCAGTGATCAGGATAATAAAGTAACCTAACCTTTCCAGATGTTAGCCGTCAAATTCAGCGGCAACTTCCTAGTGAACATGCTGGGCGTTTGGGCCGACGTCGGCGGCGGCGGCCCTGCACGTGCCTACCCAGTAGGCGGCCTGTGCTACTACTTCAGCCCGCCGGAGTCGCTTGCCCACATTGCCCACGACCCGTTACACGCTGTTCTGTACATCTTCTTCATGCTGGGCTCCTGCGCCTTCTTCTCCAAGACTTGGATCGATGTGTCAGGGTCTTCTGCCAAGGATGTAAGTATTGGTTTTGACTTTTTAGTAGTGCCTACCCAGTAGGCGGCCTGTGCTACTACTTCAGCCCGCCGGAGTCGCTTGCCCACATTGCCCACGACCCGCTACATGCTGTTCTGTACATCTTCTTCATGCTGGGCTCCTGCGCCTTCTTCTCCAAGACCTGGTTCGATGTGTCCGGGTCTTCTGCCAAGGATGTAAGTGTATTTATTGATTTTGATTCTTTAGTAGCGTATAACCCAGTGGGCGGCCTGTGCTACTACTTCAGCCCGCCGGAGTCGCTTGCCCACATAGCCCATGACCCGCTACATGCTGTTCTGTACATCTTCTTCATGCTGGGCTCCTGCGCCTTCTTCTCCAAGACCTGGATCGATGTGTCGGGCTCTTCTGCTAAGGATGTAAGTGTATTTCTGTTGGTTTGGTTTTTTACTAGCGTTTACAGATCATAGTTATACAGCTGGAATACTAGAAAAAACGTTTTCCGAATGTTTCGAATGTGAGATGCTTGAGCGGAGGTGACACATAGACCCGAAACTACTTTTCGTTTGAAGTGGCTTTGTAGGATACTTTTGTGTCTCTCGGAGACGCTCTTGTAAAACACATGGCGCACATTACTTACTTCCTGGCAATATTGCCTTAATATGGTGTTGCCAATAGTAAAAAATATTCATGAGAGAACGAGGATACATTTCAAAACTGCAATTGCATTGCATTAAGTTTAAATCTTAGAGCAACCTGTTGTTATTACTTCTATACCCATTAAAGAATGAACAATTACTTTTTTCAATCATTTCAAGATTCAAAACCATATGATGACTTAAAATTACGACAACCCAAGTCCCGAATCGCAGTGCTAAACTCAACAAGACAAGACTTATTTTCATCATCTAACCATCTTTTTGCCTCAGGTCGCGAAACAGCTGAAGGAACAACAGATGGTAATGCGCGGCCACCGCGACAACTCCATGATCCACGAGTTAAACCGCTACATCCCGACGGCTGCGGCCTTCGGAGGGCTCTGCATCGGAGCCCTATCAGTCTTAGCCGATTTCCTCGGCGCCATCGGCTCCGGCACCGGAATCCTGCTCGCCGTCACCATCATCTACCAGTACTTCGAGATATTCGTCAAGGAACAGGCCGAGATGGGAGGCATGAGCACGCTGTTGTTCTAACTCTGAAACTCTTAGCGGGGAGGAGGCGGTAGGGGTCACGTGACGGTGATCCGTAGACGGAGCGGCGAAATTACGCAGTTTCGAAATTCGTCAATGAGGGTTTTCGCTGTTGAAAAATCCGCCAGATGGCAATACGTAGACGCGAGGTCCAAATGCTGCATGATTGGTTATTTTTGACATGACATTGACAGATGTCAAAATCCACCAATCACGCAGCAGTTAGACCTTACATCCACGTCCCTCCATCTGGCGGATTTTTCAATCGCGAACACCCTAATTGTAAAACGTTTTGTGATCGCTCCGTCTACGGTTCGCCGATTGTAATTAGTTTTATTCGGTCTGAGTAATTTGGCTTTCGCCATTGGACTGTCGCGTTAATTTTTTTTATTTAGTAGGGAATATTATGTCCTCGGCCGCCTCCTCGCCGGCGTGTGTGTGCGCGTGGGTTATGTGCTAATTTATATGAGATAACTTTATAATAAAATAATTACGAGAAGTACAGATGTTGTTTTTGTCGAGACCTTCCGAGTATTCAGTTTTATATCGCTGTTGTTCCTAGTTCGTAAGCTGAAACGATCCGACTTTGTTAAGATCATCTTACAAACTTAAAATTACTTTTAAGTGCGTTGGATACCGTTGTAAAAGACATTGTAATAGATGATTTGTATATTGTGTTGTGATTATTGTTGACGGCATATCAGATATTNACGTGTTGTACAATGGTTCATTTTTCGTGTTTACAGTCAAATTTCTGGAAGTAATAAAGCCGTTTTGCAGTATATTGCCAGAAATCGCAAAACCAGAACGGAAGGTAAGTGCCCCGATTAATGTCGATATATCCTGTTTTACTTGATTCCTCTTGGTTTTATCGTGTTCAGGATGCTATTCCTTCATGGATCAAGCTATAAATCATTAAATTCATCAGAAAAAATAAAGTGAAAGTAGAATACTAACCTCAAGTACTTTTGATTTGGGATAGATAACTGTACATCAAAAGCCTCTGCCTACTATTTGAACGTTATTTTTAACTGAATGCCTTGACTTTTCAGATCCAATTCCGAGAGAAAGTATTATGGACAGCAATCACATTATTTATTTTCTTAGTATGCTGCCAGGTGAGTCTTGCCACATAACCATTTTTTGGGAATACACCCATATGCTCCAATTAGCTTAATGTTACTTTCGAATTCTTATTACAACATTATCAAATTACTTTATGAACAATAATTACTTATTTCAGCATTTCCCATACATTAATTTATGTTTTAGACATATGAATAAATTATACTTTCTAATATTACTAAACCCAATAAGTTTTTAATTTGAGTAATTCCATTAAGTTTATTACTAAAAAATCACAATGACAATAAAGAATTATGTTTTTCCAGATTCCCTTATTCGGTATAATGTCATCAGACAGTGCGGATCCTTTCTACTGGATCCGTGTCATCTTAGCTTCGAACAGAGGAACACTTATGGAACTCGGTATCTCGCCAATCGTCACATCTGGTCTCATCATGCAGCTTTTAGCTGGTGCGAAGATCATTGAAGTTGGTGACACTCCAAAAGACAGAGCGTTGTTTAACGGCGCTCAGAAATGTAAGTGGTTTCTTCATTTATATTATTTTTAGACGATAAATTAAAATTGACGCTTAAAACTTTATTAATTGAATACATCTTCATAAACAACATGAAAGTAGATCATGTTATTTCAGAATTTTGATTGCAGTTTAATTATTAATTATTGTAATAATCTGTCATCTTTTATAATGTTTTTATTTACTGCATACAATTTAAAAAAGAAAGTTCATCTATTGCTAAACTGAATGAACATAATACAATAACCACATGTATTTATTGTGAAGGCAAAGTGCCAATTCATTTCAATAGTTTGGAGGTGGCAGAATGCCAGTTTTTATTTATCCCAAAAATAAATAGTCCTTAAACAAATATGTACAGTCTACTTTACTACTCTAGTCTTATATCAATGATAAAGTAATGATAAAAAAAGATAAAATGTGTATGGTTAAAAAACAAATAAATACTTTATATGAATGAAATTTTGGCAAACATTAATCAATTTGCATTAAAAAAATGTAAGAATTGCCATATAAATAAATAAATAATATTCTAAGCAAATTTTGTACTGTTATATGAATAGGAACATTCTAAAAATACATTCAACATACAATATGTTATAAATAAGAACATTTTATTTCAGTATTTGGTATGGTAATCACTGTGGGTCAAGCCATCGTATACGTAATGACTGGCATGTACGGTGAGCCCAGCGAAATCGGAGCTGGTGTCTGTCTGCTTATCATCATCCAACTGTTTGTTGCTGGTCTCATTGTGTTGCTGCTCGACGAGCTGTTGCAAAAAGGTGGGCATTTTGACGTTTCTACACACATATTTTTGCAAATGTTCTTTTAGAATAAATTATGAAATGTATTCTGTGTATAAGCAATTTTAAATTTAAAAAATAATAGGCAATTTCTTGCACATAAAAGTAAAACAACCAGTCAATCAATAAACGTAACTTTCACATATATGTCTTAAAGAAACTGTGTTTTTTTATCACATTTGGTACAGAGATGATAATATCTTTGATTATTTGGTATAATTTATTAATTTATTCTGTACGTTATGATCATGGATGTCACAGCAGCAGTAACAGTTACACTGCTAAGTTTGTTTTTATTTTTACTTAACTCCTAATGGAAATGATACAAATGTTTTATAAACTGTTTCAAAGTTTTCTTTTCCATAGATTTTTAGTTTAATTTGTCAATTCTCTTTCAGGATATGGTCTCGGATCTGGTATCTCACTGTTCATTGCGACAAACATTTGTGAAACTATTGTCTGGAAAGCATTCTCTCCTGCTACTGTTAATACTGGTAAGAAAAAAATCTATTAATTCCATTTATTTAAGATTTTTTCTAGCCAATTTAGACTTGTAGAGAAACCATGCTTTGAGGCCAACACAGGGTAGTTGTTATGGCTATTTTCCCTAGCAATTGAGTTTATCTATCTAAATAAATTGATTAAATAAATAAAAAAATCATCAAACCATTTCTTTACCTCTTTACCAGAGGCCAATGAAGAAAGAAAAGAACGAACTTTTTTCACGAATATAATTGTAATCAATTCACCTGTGTGAAATGGTTCTGAGGTGAAATGTGGACACTAAAAATACCACTTTCTTCACCCAGGTGATATCAACAAGTTGGACAAAGTGGAATAATCCTTTTAGAAGCTTTTTTGCAAGAAAAAAAGACCAGCACTAGCCATTTATTGTCTCTACGTGTAAAAGCGCTTTTTAAAAGCCTAAAGCTAAAAGTCCTTATAACTATCTCCACACAGGCCGCGGCACAGAGTTCGAGGGCGCCGTGATCGCACTATTCCACTTGCTAGCCACGCGGCCCGACAAGGTGCGCGCGCTACGCGAGGCCTTCTACCGCCAGAACCTGCCCAACCTCATGAACTTGCTCGCCACTGTACTCGTCTTCGCGATAGTCATATACTTCCAGGTGTGTATGGAGTTCACTCATTTTTAGCCGTTTTCTTCTATATGTATTTGACTAAAAATTAATAGGGTGGTCAATTGAACTTCAAAAGGCCACTCTTCGTAGATTTTGTGTGGCAAAGAGTATTATGAAGTCATTTAATTGAGTAACTTTTATTGATTTCCAAGATCAATTAATGAAAAATCTCATTTTACATAAAATGTAGAACTAAAGGTTTTTAGAACTAAAATAAATTTAACCCTTCAACTGTGGCTAATAGTGTTTGTTATACAGGGTGGAATCACGATTATTTAAATAAACTATACAAGAAGTGATCTCACTTGATTATTTACTAAACAGATATCGAAAAAGTGGTTACTGATCCTAAAATGCTTTATGAGCTCTAGCCAACGATATCAATAATACAGGAAAACTAGATCTAATCGAAAATTTAATGTCTCCAGTTTCCATACATTTAGTAGGTAGGTACAGCTACACACGCTTCTATCGAAAGGCACTAGGTACGAATGCTCAATCGGAAAGAAGAGTCTAGTAATGAGAAATACTGAGTCACCTTCGCCATTGCAGATTTTTATTTATTACAGGAAATAAAAAATGTACAAACAACAGTACATCAAAATAAACTGTTTCCACATAAATGTTCAGTACAATGTGTCAATCTGTTATTTCCCCGCAGGGCTTCCGCGTGGACCTGCCCATCAAGTCGGCGCGCTACCGCGGCCAGTATTCGTCGTACCCCATCAAGCTGTTCTACACCTCCAACATCCCCATCATTCTTCAGTCTGCGCTAGTTTCTAACCTCTACGTCATTTCGCAAGTAAGTATTAAAGGTTTTTTGACGTTTTATTTGTGTGATGCTTTTTGACAGATATCGTTTCGAGCCGAAAGACGTCCACTGCTGGACAAAGGCCTCCCCCAAGGATTTCCACAAAGACCTTCCGCGACCTTCACCAGATCGTACATACATAGCTTGCTTGACAGATATAAGCCGCTATTTTTGGCAGATATAAGATAAAAATATTATTTTTAAAACCACTCTGTAAAAGCTGTGCATGTGACATTGGCGGAACAGTGTGCTCTCAGTGGCGAAAAAAGTTCGTCGCCATCAACCAAAACGGCAATTATTTTTACGTTAATTCTTTCATAATTCGGACGCTCTACTATTATTATTCGATAGAATTATGCCCATAATAGAAACGTTTGAATTCAAATTGTTTATTTATGCAAGTAAGCTAGGCGCTAGTCCAAAGAGCAATTTTACTTGTCCCAACCCTAAAACTTTGAGTTGTAAATAGTGTAGGGCTTTAGAAAATAATTTATCATAGATGAACATGGCAATGTTCCATTTTCAACAAAATTCTTATCATTAGTAAGCAGCTTTTACTCTTCATAATTTTGAAACACCTTATAGTCAAGTAATCCTGAAACGTCAAGTGGCAAAAATTGGAACTATTAACCCAGCATTGATAGTAGCGCCCTCGTGTAAATGTCATTATTATAATGGTTGTCCAACGTGGCAAAAATCGGACCTATAATCCAGAGTTGATAGACAATGTCAGCTGGGTCGGTTACACCCACCCACTAAAACAACCACGAATGGGCATAGGGGAAATGCCGGTATAGCGAACTTTGTCCCGATTTCCCCCAATGCCCAGTTTGTCTGCAGTGATCAGGATAATAAAGTAACCCACCTTTCCAGATGTTAGCCGTCAAATTCAGCGGCAACTTCCTAGTGAACATGTTGGGCGTGTGGGCCGACGTCGGCGGCGGCGGCCCTGCACGTGCCTACCCAGTAGGCGGCCTGTGCTACTACTTCAGCCCGCCGGAGTCGCTTGCCCACATTGCCCACGACCCGTTACATGCTGTTCTGTACATCTTCTTCATGCTGGGCTCCTGCGCCTTCTTCTCCAAGACCTGGATCGATGTGTCAGGGTCTTCTGCCAAGGATGTAAGTATATTTTTTGTTTTAGTAGTGTTTAACCCAGTAGGTGGCCTTTGCTACTACTTCAGCCCGCCGGAGTCGCTTGCACATATAGCCCATGACCCGTTACATGCTGTTCTGTACATCTTCTTCATGCTGGGCTCCTGCGCCTTCTTCTCCAAGACCTGGATCGATGTGTCAGGGTCTTCTGCCAAGGATGTAAGTATATTTTTTGTTTTAGTAGTGTTTAACCCAGTAGGTGGCCTTTGCTACTACTTCAGCCCGCCGGAGTCGCTTGCACATATAGCCCATGACCCGTTACATGCTGTTCTGTACATCTTCTTCATGCTGGGCTCCTGCGCCTTCTTCTCCAAGACCTGGATCGATGTGTCGGGGTCTTCTGCTAAGGATGTAAGTATTTTTTTTTTGTTGATTTGGTTTTTTAGTAGCGTTTAACCCAATAGGCGGCCTGTGCTACTACTTCAGCCCGCCGGAGTCGCTTGCCCACATAGCCCACGACCCGTTACACGCTGTTCTGTACATCTTCTTCATGCTGGGCTCCTGCGCCTTCTTCTCCAAGACCTGGATCGATGTGTCCGGGTCTTCTGCTAAGGATGTAAGTATACAGGGTGGAAACGATAAGTGATCTCCCTCGATTATTTCTAAACTATACAAGATATTGAAAAACTGGTTACTGATCCTGAAAGTCCTTAACAAGATCTATCCAACGGTATCAATAATAGGTTTCAAAATAAACTGGATCTATCCGAAAATTCAATGTTTCTAGCTTCCATACATTTAGTAAAACCTCTCAATATTAAAAACTATACAAGATACCCAAAAACTGATTACTGATCCTGAAAGTGCTTCACGAGCTCTATCCAATAATACTAATAATAAGTTACAAAATGTACTGGATCTATCCGAAAATTCAATGTTTCCAACTTCCATACATTTAGTACTGCCACAGTCATGGTACTCATGTCTTGATAATATTATAGCAAGTAAAGCCTAGAACCAATGTTTTTCATGAATAATTTTAAATAAGAATGCAATTTACGAGTTTATTTTAAGTGTTTATTATTTAGTAAAAAAATTAACACTTTTAATATTGTGTGGCTGGCATACATTTAGTATGGAGGCTAAAAACATTGAATTTTCGGATAGATCCAGTTAATTCTGTAACCTATTACTGATACCGTTAGAAAGAGCTCGTGAAGCACTTTCAGGGTCAGTAACAAGTTTTTCGATATCTTGTATAGTTTAGAAATAATCGAGTGAGATCACTTATCGTTTCCACCCTGTATATTTTTTTGTTAGCGTTTACAGATCCTGGTTATACCGCCTGGAATATTCGGAAAAAGGTTTTCCGGGGTTTCGAATGTTGCCACATCTCTCACACAAAGCGAGTTGCTTGAGTTAGGGTGACAGATAAACCCGAAACTACGTAAACAACGCCTCAAAGTGGCTTTGCAGGATACTTTTACATCTTTCGGAGCCCCTCGTGTAAAATACATGTCGCATGTTACCTGGCAATATTTCGTGGTGTTGCCAATGGTAAAAATATTCATAAGAGAACAACGAGAATACATTAAAATGTATGGGAGTTGTCATTGCATTGTATCAAGTTAAATCTTAGACCATAGGTCTAAGATACAAGTTGTGGTAAAAGAGCGAGCAATTACTTTTTAACAATTTCAAAATTCAAAACCATACGATTTTTAAATAAACAACTTGAAATAAACCATACGATGACTTAAAACTACGACAACCTAAGTCCCGAATCGCAGTGCTAAACTCGACTAGGCAAGACTTATTTTCTATTTATTTTCATCATCTAACCATCTTCCCTAGGTCGCGAAACAGCTGAAAGAGCAACAGATGGTAATGCGCGGCCACCGCGACAACTCCATGATCCACGAGTTGAACCGCTACATCCCGACGGCTGCGGCCTTCGGAGGGCTCTGCATCGGAGCCCTATCAGTCTTAGCCGATTTCCTCGGCGCCATCGGCTCCGGAACCGGAATCCTGCTCGCCGTCACCATCATCTACCAGTACTTCGAGATATTCGTCAAGGAACAGGCCGAGATGGGAGGCATGAGCACGCTGTTGTTCTAACTCTGAAACTCTTAGCGGGGAGGAGGCGGTAGGGGTCACGTGACGGTGATCCGTAAACGGAGTGGCGGAATGACGCAGTTTCGAAATTCGTCAATGAGGGTTTTCGCGATTGAAAAATCCAAGGCAATACGTAGACGCGAGGTCCAAATGCTGCATGATTGGTTATTTTTGACATGACATTGACAGATATGTCAAAATCCACCAATCACGCAGCAGTCAGACCTTACATCCACGTCCCTCCATCTGGCGGATTTTTCAATCGCGAACACCCTAATTGTAAAACGTTTCGTGATCGCTCCGTCTACGGTTCGCCGATTGTAATTAGTTTTATTCGGTCTGAGTAATTTGGCTTTCGCCATTGGACTGTCGCGTTTAATTTTTTTATTTAGTAGGGAATATTATGTCCTCGGCCGCCTCCTCGCCGGCGTGTGTGTGCGCGTGGGTTATGTGCTAATTTATATGAGATAACTTTATAATAAAATAATTACGAGAAGTACAGATGTTGTTTTTGTCGAGACCTTCCGAGTATTCAGTTTTATATCGCTGTTGTTCCTAGTTCGTAAGCTGAAACGATCCGACTTTGTTAAGATCATCTTACAAACTTAAAATTATTTTTAAGTGCGTTGGATACCGTTGTAAGACATTGTAATAGATGATTTGTATATTGTGTTGTGATTATTGTTGACGGCATATCAGATATCGATGCACATATTGTGTTCTGTTTTGATAGGACCAGAATAACTATGTGGTAGTTTTACTTCACACATTTACTACACATGACAATCAGTAAATTAAATATATATTAGAACAGACTGCATGTTTATTTTCTTGTAGTTTAACTATTTCCTATATCAGAAACACATACAGAAGGTAGTTAAATAAAATGCATCCCAAAAATAGTTTTGTTATGTAACTTTATTCTCCTCACTAGACATGCAAATACAGGACAAAACAATTCACGATTCCTTCAAACCTTATAACAAAAAATCACGACTAAATAAGATTGGTAACAAATTTATATACAAGGCAGAAAATCTTTTAAAATCAATCTGAATGTGTTTATAATAATGAGATCTGAGCCAGATTGGTGAGGAAACAATATTGTTAGGATTTCAGGTAGTAATAAAACCGAGGGCTATACATCCACAACTAATCCTAAATGTTTAGGCACTTTTAAGCAGGACTCTCGGTTGGTTCTTATTGCTTAAACGGGACCAAATCTTTTTCGAGAGCAAACTTAATGGAAGACTTCTAAGTCGGCATGCATTTCAATCTTGAAATGAAATAACGTACGTAACTCAGTTGCTGAGAACTTCTACAAGAAATGGTGTCAAGTAAAAAGCGTATCAAAACCCCGTTATGCATTCAACTTTTTCTAAGTCGTGGAATCATTGTGATATCTAATACTGAAACGATTTTGTAAACAAAATGAATGAATCCGACATTAAAAAATATGTTACCTTCTAAATAAAGTAAAAAGTGGGTTAAAAGAATTATAACGAGGATTCGACAGTTCTGTAAAAATGTAGTGAAGTTCATTTTTATTAAGTCTCATGTACGTAAATAACTATTACTAAAATTAAATGTTAGTTGCTTTTCTGGTGGGTCTGAGGGTCTTTGTTATTTAATTATATTTAGGTTAATTAGATTGCTTTAAACAAAACAGCATTCAAAGCAGTATTGTAACGGGTAGATATTATAGAACCGTTATGAGAGAAAACTACAGTTTCAATACAAAATGAGTTGGAAGGAAATATCGAAAATAAAGGTAAGGCTGAGGTTACACAAGGTCAAAGCTGCTTTCATTTTATGTAAACTGTGTGTGTGTAGTTCGGAACGCAAATAAATCGCATATATATTTTCATAATACATATTACGCGAGTCACAAATCAAGTCGCTATTTTGCCCTCACCTTTACTTTATTTACGATATTCCGACTCATTTCGAGAAATAGAAATCGAAGTAAACGAAACACTCAAGGAGTCATGAAACCCATTAAGCTGTAGCTAATGAGCAAACAGATATTTTGCTGAATTAACCATATAATTTTAAGATTAAGAAATATCGACTAATAATATAAGAAATTAACATGTAGATAATAGAAACGTGCAGTTATACTTAATAACCTAAAATGGACGTTAATGAGTTTTGATAAGTTAATTACTAAGTGATCGAGGTTTTCTATATCTAACCCGGCGTGGTACGTGTAGATAATGGTTTGATAAATGTAATTACTTTTGTGTTAAACCAGAAGTTCATTTTAACTAAAAAAACCTGATATCGCGCCTCCAACGTGAAGTTTTTTTATAGACGAATAAATAAATAAAGAATGAATGCATGCGTGTAAAAATATTCTAATCACAGTTCACACTTCCGTTCCCTACTGACCCATGCGCGCCAGTACACCTCTAATATTACCCACAATCCGACCGCTGCTCGCAAATACAAACGAATAAAGCGTTATGTTACTTCCCACGTTATGTACTACTTACATCATAAATATTCATCTCTGCTATGTAGTGGATCGATATAGTTTCACCAATTATTATTCACAGACTATTTTACAAACGATGATACCCTTAAATTATTCCTTAGCGGTCCAACGATAATAGTTCGGCGTAATAATAAATCGAAGTATAATCATAAAGCATTTTATAACTATCACTTTGCATAATAGGTATGTACAAAGCTTTTTCTAATCTAGTGCAAGTGTCGCCGTACGATCGAATGCTGCGATGCGATATTGAACAGTGTACAAGATCCAGATATTTCAGTCAAATAAACCAAACCCGAAGCTTTAACAAATAATAACTAAACGAAACAACTCAATGCAGAAAACATTTATTAGATTTAACAACATCCGTGAATGGAGAAAAGAAAACAAAGAAAAAATAACTTTAAGAATAACAGTGCCAATTAATCTACTAAAATGTGGATTCGTCGGTCGTCCCACACCGCACAGCTACTCGGCGCCCCGTTACGAATAAGTGAACTTTAATCCCCTAATATAAGATACTTTATTAATCCGTAAATACGACTTAATTTCGAAAGTTAATCGATCAAATAGTCATTTCCAAAAATTAAACTAGGTACACAAACGTCTAAAAGTTGACTGAACCGATAATATAATAAAATATACTCTAAAATATAACAACAAAAATCAATTCGGAGCCGCACCGGGCAACCGGGCCGGCCCTCATCGTGTCACTAAACTATATCTAGTGAATTCGCTAATTCAATCTTGTATCATTTGTACACGCGATAATAGCACTTATAATATTACGTCTACGATCCGAACTTAGTCAAAATGGTAATTTAGAATATATCACCGGGCGTCCCCGGTCGCTCAGCGTTCACGCATCGATGATCGCACGCACAGACTCAAAAAGCGGTCGAATGTCACTCGAGCGGTCTTCGGAGGCCGATCGCGGGTCGGCGTCGGTCGAGCGCGCACTGTTCACACACATCCGCGGTGGCCGAGCGCGTTAAGGTTCGGCCAAACCAACGCGGCGCAATCAGCCGGCGTGCAGCGATGGCGATCAACGCATTTAGGTCTGGTCGCCATCACGCCGGCTGATCGCGGTGTGATCGCGTTGGTTTGGCCGAACCCTTAAAGCATTGATCGCCGTCGCTGCACGCCGGATGACCGCGTTGGTTCGGCCGAACCTTTAGGCGAGCGTGTCGATCTCGTAGGCGTCGGTCGAGCGCGCACTGTCCAGCCCCTCTAGACAAAACGCACTTTTTGATCGAATCGAAAATCGAATCCGTCAAAACTCCATACAAAAAAGGGGCTTTTCGACCACTTTTCGACTGGTTTGCGATTAAAAAAACACAGACGCGGCGGCCGGGCCTCGGGCGGGCCGCGTTATGCGAGCGTGTGGATCTCGTCGGCGTCGGTCGACCACGCAATGTTGATCCGCGGCGGCCGGGCCTCGGGCGGGCCGCGTTAGGCGAGCATGTCGATCTTGGCGTCGGTCGACCAGCAATGTTGATCCGCGGCGGCCGGGCCTCAGGCAGGCCGCGTTAGGCGAGCGTGTCGATCTCGTCGACGTCGGTCGGTCGCGCACTGTGCACCCGCGACGGCCGGGCCTCGTACGGGCCGCGTTAGGCGAGCGTGTCGATCTCGTCGCGCTCGGGCTTGGGCGGCGGCGGCGGCGCGTAGGGCCGGCCCAGCTTGCGAGCCTCGCGGCGCTGCTTCTTCTGCTGCATGACGAGGCGCAGCTGCTCCAGCTTGCCCTTGGTCTTGGAGTTGTCGAGCGCGAGCGCCTTCGCGCTGTCGCACTTGTGGCAGGAGTCGGCGCACGCGCACGCGCCGCACGCGCGCGGCTGCTCGGCCGCGCTCGACGTGCTCGCGCACGAGTGCTTCTGTTCCTTCTGTGGATGATAATGTTATGTTATTTTACAACTATATTGGTGCAATTACACTATACGGAAAATTAATCTAACTCTAAATATACAGGGTGTTAGGTAAATGGGTATATGAGCCGACACTAGCCCATGTTAACATTAGCATATAAATGGTATGGTGAAGTTTGATATCATAATTTTATTTTTTTTAATTTTCATACAAAATAAATTATATAAAATCCGATTTGTATGAAAATTAAAATAATTAAAATGAAGATATCAATTTTCACGTATGTTCATGTTGACATATTTATATAACTCAAAGGTGACTGACTGACAAAGTGATCTATCAACGCACAGCCCAAACCACTGGACGGATCGGGCTGAAATTTGGCATGCAGGTAGATGGTATGATGCATTCTCTAAGAAAGGATTTTACGACTCTCCTCAGTCGCGGGCGGCCGCTAGTCGAGACATATTAGTGTAAACACGCCCATACTTCGGTGTGCGTGCGCGCGCTACTTCTCGGTGAATTTCCTGCATAGTAACGTGTAAGTCCTTGCCTCATAGAGCTAGTATATTATTATGAGACCTGAGGCTCCGTGGATATAAGTCAGTGAATTTAGTGAGGAAGAGCTTCAGACCAGGGCTGACCTAATTAATAATATCTTTTGTACCGTAAAAAAGAATACAATTTCGATCGCATAATTTTGGTCCCAGATAATAAACACGAAATAAGTAGCACTACACTACCAGAGTTTATTGGCATGCTAAGTTCTTATATTACGGTAAGTTTTGTCTGTGAGCAGTAAAATAATGTCACTTATTTTATGGAAATACCTAAGCGAAACGAATTGTCGAACAAAAGGCAAAAAGAAGGGAAAACAATAAAACGTCATATATTTACCTGCGCCAAAGCAAGAGGCGGTGTGGCACATAGTAAGTCGTTCAGTATGTGGATAATAGTGGAGATGTCCCTCTTTGGTCGCCCATATCTGAAAATTAATTAAATTATAGCATTAAAGTTTTTTATTTTTCATCATCATCATCATCATCTCAGCCATAGGACGTCCACTGCTGAACATAGGCCTCCCCCAATGCTTTCCATGTTACCCGGTTGGTAGCGGCCTGCGTTGAATTTTTAAGTATATTATATTATTAAAACAATGTTCTGGATGATCCTTTCAACTAACTTTGGTTCTAATATACATGAGTAAACACAATATTTTATAAACAATACCTACCTAAAATAACAACATGACATGTATAAAAACAAGATGCAATAATGAAATATGAATATTAATTGTAGTTACAGAAAATATTCAAGTAGTTTAGGAATATCAATATATCAAAGCTGATATCCAAGACACGCAGGAGTAACCTTTGCTCTGTCCACAAGGAAAACATTGAAATCACAAAAAGATAATAACTACCAGACATAATAATATTGGCCATAAATTACAGTACACAGAAAAAGATTGCACGTTATCAATCTAGTTAGTAAAGGTTCAGGAAAGATGATTTTATTTAGGGTTTTACCTTACTATCATTTGGTAATAAGAAACACGTCTTTTATCAACTTAGTTTTCGATTTTTTTAAGAAGCGAGGCGTCATTTTCTTTCGTTATCGAGGATTATACGTTTTTATACTTTTATTTTTTACAAAGTTAGTGCATTGGTAAAGGTAATATGTCATATCAATAAATAGTTAAAAGAGTCATAGACCTTTTACACAATCTTATGGTTATGTATGATATTCAACTGTTGAAATAACTCCTTTGTTTAAACAACAGTTTTGAATTCTAGGTTCATGGTGATATTTGTGAAATAGCATACAAGGACTTTACTATTCATACTGGTAAAACTTTATGCACCAAGTAGTTGGTTAATTTGGCTAATCCGATTAAATATTCTTATAAGAAAGAACAAATTTTAATAAACAACTGCAAAGCATGGATTTAATAATAAAGCCAAGCATTGGTTATCAATATCAAGTAAATTTTGCCAACATTCTAAGAAAAAATAAAGTAAATAAAACGAGGAAAAGATAATGTAAATTCACAATGCATAATACATAGTAAACATTAGATATCTTAGATACAGTTGTCTTATATCATAGTTGTATGTAGAAGGGTATTCATAAAACAAACAAGTCATTTAACACCATTATAACATTATACTGTCTAAATTCATGATATAGAAACCATTTAAAAACCACTTAAATAACTAGCTAAACTGACTTAAAATAACCATCTGTTTTTTTATGAATCTGTATGTTAAATAAATGATTTGATTTGAATATGAGGGTAGAAATACTTTTAGACCATTTTAGTTACTGTAAAAATGCTTGTTTATAAAATTTTGATTAATCTGTTTAGGTTAGAAAGAATCAAAAGAAAGATTTTTAAAAATACCATTTTTAAAAAATTTAGTCAAGTGATTAAGTATTGAATAAAAATATTATTTACCTGTCTTGCAGTGCTGGATTTAATGTGCCCGAAAACGTCCCTGAATATATTCCTTTGCCATGGTGCTTCATGGACTCTATCACAGCCCCAGGGCCTATTTTCTGGCGAACAACCTCCTCAGCACTTCTGAGATCAATTTTGTTTGTCAACACTTCCTTTGACAATTTCTTCAACTTCTGTGTCAAGTTCTTTGACGCCTCTATTAAGGCTTTTGTATCGACAAGCGGTGTTGGTGACGCTCTCTGTGGCTTCTTTGGAGCATCGGGTGCCTTGAAAGGAACCTGCTGTTTTGAGGTAGATGGAGTAGCATCGTCCGCTGCCTGCCCACTGCTCGGCTGAAGAATCAACTTTCTTGAATTTGTTATGTACGGATCTGTCCGAGACGTGGAGGGCTGTGCTAGATTGCTGTCCTGCTTTATCTGCATCCTTTTTTTGTGTTTGTTCACCACAGACTGCATAAATGCTTTTTGTTTATTCTGCCCAATAGGGTGCTTGAACTTGGATGTTTTGTGAAGTAAATATTGGAAGCGTTTATTTTTTAAAGGCTCATTTATGCTTTGGAAAGAGGGAAGTGTGCCAGCCGTAGTCTCTTGGGCCCCGTGACTTGTTGTAGCCAGGTTTGATATCTCCCTGTCCATCATAGACTCATCTTGTTCCTCAAATAATCCTTTGTCAATCGCACTGTTGAACAGATTCTCCATTGGGTACTCATCTATGGTGCTCTCGGCAAGGAATGAACTCTGGTCAGCAAAATTGTCGCTGTCATCACTGGCTGAACTGTCCTGGGTCAAAGAAGACGTGGAAGGGCATGGCTGGTCACTGATGGCACTTGTAGAAGGAATCACTTCACTATTTAACTTACTTTGCGATAACAAATCTATCAAATTACTTTTTACAGAGTTCACAAGAGCAGCATCAGCTTTGCTCTCAGAGGTAGATGCATCGATAGGACTAGACACCAAATTAGATAAAGACTTTATTGGGGACTGTTCATTATCTAAAGATGTGCTAGAAATATCTGACAGGGTGCCATTTGTGGTGTCCATTGATTCATCTTTGTCATCAGAAGATTCAGCTTTATCTACATTATCAGCCATGGATCTGTACAAAAAATTCTGTAACATTTCTAGATCCTGTTTTTGTATAATGGTTATGCGTTTGGGCTTGTCACTTTCTTCTGTGGACTCGTTGCTACTGCTGGGTTTCTGAGGAGTACTCTGAGGGCTGGGTGTTTCCCTGGGTTCACATTTGGGGCGGGCAATCGGGACCGGAAATTTGGGCCGCAGAGGGCGGGCAGAATTTGAGGAACTAGAGTTAAGTGTGGACAGCTGCAACTGAATCAACATCATGTGGTCTCCCAACCGCATGGTCAGATTTAATGGTGATTTCCCACTCAAGAAATCATTGACTTGCGTGTCATTCAGGGATTCTAATGCCTGCATCACAGAATTTTCAGGTCTTTGACTCTGGAAACAATGAAAACAGTATAATGTTAGAACTCCTTACTAAACAATCTAGGCAATAGAGAATTGTATTTGAGATAAATGACTTGTATTGATTAGTTTCACTTTGTTATGAAACACGTGATTATCATGAGGTGCGACGATTTCGAAACAATATGACGCCTTACCAGGAGGCCCGTCTCGACGCTCGGCAGCAGTATGATCCGCGAGCCGTCCAGAACCCCGTTCTCCTCGAGGGTCCCGTCCGTCAGTTGCCTGCGAAGGCAAACGCACGTCAATATTGGAGTCAAAGGACGCGGATGCGTCATCGTATCGACGCAACATTATTTCCGTGATGTTTGACAATAGAGGCTTGGCGTCTCGATATCTACTCACCTTTCGCGATGCAGGAGGCATATTCGATCTTTTGCGACTCTGAGTTTCTTCGAAACCAGTTTCTTGAGGTGATCCACTGTATTTTTGTCGTTCAAACTGATTGAGAAGTTACCACCCGTCGTCGTTTGTATATTCAGCGTTATGTCCGAGGTTTGAGGCGAGCCACACCCGTATACTTCTGTTCCCGTAGCACGTTCCATATTATCCACATAAATTACACTAGAATTTTCACTATATCACTATTTTAATGGCGCAAGGCTTATCTTAGATTACACAGCTATTTTATTGCAAGATAGAATTAACAGGGTCACACGCCAGACCCCCAGATTTTGATGTGGCCGTCAGTGTGACCAGTCGCCTTCGCGATATCCCGTTAACTTTTTTTACTACAACAGCTGATGCGAAGCGCTGCTTTTTTCGTTCCATTACACGTCACTTTCAACTATTTTCAAAAAATTAAATTCTATTTTTTAATGAATTTGGTATCAAAAGATTGTTTAATTCCTTCATATTATGGTACATATATTTAAGACTTAATATTTAGATGATTAATGAAAGAAAATATAAAAATATTATTATTATTATTATTATTATTATTATAGTAAATGTCTATCACAACTGGAATGAGTGTTGCTTGGAACGGAGTACATGTGTCAATTTACGTCACACGATGTAATTTTTACGTTTGTGCGGGAATTTCAAACGTCATGACGTCACGCTATTCTAATGAAATCTAATAAATTCGATAACATTTCGATATTAATTTGTTTCGATTATTAATTTTAATGATTATCGCAGGCTCTCTCTTTCACTTCTAATCAATACGGTAATTATTTGATTTCATCTAATGTTCTCGCAAAATGTAACAAAGAGAGCATTATCTACTAAAATCATTGAACCATCATTCCTTCCATACAATGACCTCCAGCCTTATGATTAGTTTCTGGCAGTAATATTTTATTTCTCATCATCGTACAATACGATAAAATGTGAGAAATTCTATTCGTATTTTTTAATTCCTTTCTATTATTATATTCCAACCAAGCAATACTTTTTCAAAACTTTTTTAGTAGGAATCAATACTGTGGAAATATTATAAGTAAAACAAAGATAGTGTTATCCTGAACCCAACTTTATTAACCCAGCACCCTCCAATACAATAAACAAACCAACAGATATCACAGTGTTTGACACATCAAAAATTACATTTTCAATAAACAGTAATAAATAAACATTCACTTTAAGAAGTGGTATTTTTAGTTTTTACATAGCTTGGAAGTGGTATTTTTCGATAGCGAAAAATACCAGAAACTTTGTCTATGGAACCGATACCGCAATTTAACAAAGACACCACTTCATAAAGTAAAGGTGGTCGCTTTCTAAAGCATGGTATTTTATTATTATTTTGTTGTCTTGTATAGAAAACGTTGTTTCCCAGTATATTTCAGATTCCAGCTGTTAATATACAGCAGATTTGTTGCAATACTTAGTTGCTGTAATGTTAACAGAGAATGAAGGCATTAAGTCCGCCTTATGTACACCGTTCTATGTGCATATAAGTTTTAAATAAATAAATAAAAATAAATAATTGAGGGCAGACGTAATCTAGCACTTGTACTTATAAATCGGGGTCTTTCTTTGCAATTTAGTTATAATAAAGGAAACAATCAAGTTAATCAAGAGACTTGCTTAGGCAGAATGTTTCAGAGAAAGAAAAATTCGTGGTATTTTTTCTTATTTGAAAATGTTTTGTGTTTGCTTACTTTTTGTGATTATTTTACTTAACGCTATCGTTCAACCAGCAACTCTAGTCTCTACATAACGATACAAACAAAACGAATAGCGCTAAAATCTATAGTCGCGTGACGAAAATTATTACATAATACACGAAAATTAACAAACAATGATTATTTTTATGGGCAATGGGTATGACAGGATGTTTACGGCTCTATACACACAACAATCAAACTTAACATAAAGGTACCTAACGATTGACATGGAAAGCAAAAACAATGGAAATACACTATCACATTCCTAGTTTTCAATGAACTATTATTTATTAAAATATCTGTGAACAATTCAATAATGAATTCTGATAAATGAATAAAACAAAGATACCTACTGGTAACTGTCATGTAATAAATGTTTTAGTAATGTATGTTTTGAACAACAAAAACATTTTAACATTTAAAAACACTTCTTACGCTCACCTCAAAATAATGAACAACATAATTTAGAAATTACAAACTGGTCTACCGATTTGTATAAGGTTGTAACTTAAAATAATACATTTCGAATATATTTCATAGTAATATTTCAAATACATACTTACAAACTTAGCTTAAACATTTTTATTTTATCTATTAGAAGTACCTAAACTTAAACAAAACGGATACATAATTACAAGTTTCATAAAAGCAACAAACATAACAGTTTTCTTGAATCATTTGCCCCCAATAAAATTTTATTATTAAAAAATAGGTTTTATTGAATAACGGTAAATAATTGGTCGTATAATTGTATTTGAAGGTTAATTACAATACAGTATACAGTAAAATAGAACTTAATATTCTAAAACATCACAAAGACAACATTGAGTATCAAAGTCATAGATAAACCATAATAATTCCCATCTCCTAACTAGCGATTTTGTCTACTTATTTTATAAAATAGTCCTACGTACTTATTTGGATACTACATTAACTTGATTCCCTTTAATTTTTTAGAGCGCTTTAAAATAAAGGGTGGTCCAGTCCAGGCGGATATTAAAACATTTTTTAGAATGTTAGATTAGGGACCAATGAGACCCCGCCAGGAAAAAAATCGCTTCCCATCCGATACGAGTTATGATTTTTATTTGATAATAACTTGGAAAAAATTCTTTTTTGTTTTCAGTTTTAGTTTTCTTTTTATTGTAACTTCGACACTGTACTTTCAAAAAACAATTCAGAATGATATGCAGCAAGATATTCTGGGAAAGTGACTTGCTTTGAACTTTAAGGATTTTGTTAACTCTATTTCATTCCCAGCATTTTTTTCCTGGCAGGATCCGATAGGTCCAACTTTCTAAAAAAACATATCTGTCTGGTTTGGGTCATCCTGTATATTTTGTAAGTTTGTGAACTTTAATCTTGGATAAACAATCATTTTAACTTATATTAATAGTTTCTGTTTGAAGATATTGAAATGGCTATCATACAGGGTGTAAAGATAACATAAATACCACCTACTTCAAAATTAGTTTCACAATACGTAGGGAATTTGGTTATTATGAGATATATCCTTTAGGTCCATGAACCTCTATTTTTTAGCATTACTATTTAATATTATACATGCATTATTATAGATAATATTATCATCTTATTTATAANATTTATATGAGAAAGGAACAAGTTTAGGTATTATGTTAGAATTTTAGAATTATAAAGGTATTATAATTACGTGTGATGTTATAATAACTATAAAAATAAATTAAATATACATCCTATTACGAAATTTGAAATTGATAGTTCTATAGAAGAAAACATGTCCATTATTTACTATTTATTTCTTAGTAATTACTGAATAAAATATGGATAGTAAATCGTTAAAAGTTGGCTAACTACTCGCACTAGGAGAAGATTTTAATAATTTCGATCGATTGATCGATCAATACATATTTGTGAAATTGTGACCTTAGTTAAAGGTTAACTATGTATTATGTGATTCGAATCACAATCTAAAAAGATAATAAAGTAACGAAATAAAAATTATATTTCATTATATTGAATTCAATATACACATAAATATAAGACATTTTGTAACAGATACACTGATTTAAAATGCATTAAAAAACACAACGCGTGCATCGCATATACACGCGCTTCGATTTCGTTCTGACCCGGGTTCGCTTTCGAATCGACGTCGCCACGACTCCGAGCCGACGCCGATTCGATCACGAACCGAACTCCTGCGTTTCGTTGTCTATGGCCTCGAAGACGTAGCCACCTCGGCCGTCCATTTGGAGGTAGTGGTCGTGGTGCTTCCATAACGACTTGCGGTGCGATACGGTGAAGAGGGTTATGCCCATCTGTGATAAAAAACTTGAAATTACTTATTTTGTTCGAGTAAAAGTCTTTACTCTGTACCTACAATGAGTTGAGTCTGCATATTTTTTGTGTACTAAAAATATTTTTCATATTTTTAGGGGTAGGTCAGAGGTCAAGCTACCTCCCATATTTTGAGACACCCTGTATAATAATATACATAGATGGACACATTTTACTTTTTACACGTATCTATCACTAATAGTCCCTATTTATAAATGAAAAAATAAAATTACCGCCTAGCGTCACAGACGAAACATGATGTTTATCATCATGAAAATTATAGCAATTATTACGTACAGTCGGCATATCAAAGTAAACTCTGTAGCTCCTTATGCAATCATAATAGAGGCGACTATGCAACAAAAATGCATAGTCTGTGCTGTACTTTTTCCAACATGCGAACAGAATACTTGAGGAAAATTGTTAAAGATACGGCAGGATATGATACTTTTTTTTTATTCATTGCCATTACACATCGAATATTAAGAAACATTCAATCATTGATTAGAAAAGTATATACTAATGGAAACAATAGTTCGTGATAAAAATATTAGAAGAAAAGTGGCTAATTCGGATAGATGTTCTAGAAAAAAGCTGCATTGAGATTCGTGGACTAATAAAATCGTTTGTCCCGACTGAATGACGAGTAATAAGAATACATGAAGTGAAGTGCAAAGGAACAAGAAAAGAAATGGTAATTGCTGAGATAATACTGACCTCTCTGCAGTACTGGTACATCTGGCCTTCCACGTCGACCGAGACGGCACTGGTGCATTCGTCCAGGATCGCAAACTGCGGCTCGTGGTAGAATAGACGAGCCATCTAGGGACAATCAACTTATTAGTACGATTCAAGATTGAAATAAATATTAAGAATGAATTTAAATCATCCATTTGTTACAGTTTTGGCAGTGCGTGAACGATCATATTGATCCCAATCGAATTATCGAAAAAGAAACCAAACTAGATAAGGTCTAAAAGCTAAGTCCAAAAATATTATTAATGGAGGTTGGTCACTACACCGTCGCGAGCACTAAGATACGCCAGTTGCACCAGCTCCAAGAATTTCCTACCTCAACCGCAACTCCAAGAGCTACCTAAAAAGGCCTAAAAGTTTGACTCACAGCTATCCTTTGTTTCTCTCCACCAGAAAGCACGTCCATCCAGTCTTCCACCGCATCCCAGCTACCTACCGTCGCGAGCGCTCAGATACGCTAGTTGCACCAGTTCCAAGAATTTCCTGCCTGTCTGTCGCAACTCCAAGAACTACTTACAAAGGCCTAAGAAATTAGGAAGTTAGACTTCCATAACGCCAGTTGCACCAGCTCCAATAAATTTCATGTCTGCAGCAACTACAACACCTTCAAGGAGTTCTAAGGACTTGGGAAGTAGTCTATCCACTCACAGCTATCCTCTGCTTCTCCCCTCCAAAGAGCACGTTCATCCAGTCTTCCACTAAGATACGCCAGTTGCACCAGCTCCAAGAACTTACTACCCATCTGCTGCAACTCTAAAGGCTACCTAAAAAGGCCTAAAAGATTAGAAAGCTAGACTATCTATCCAACTCACAGCTATCCTCTGCTTCTCTCCTCCAGAAAGCACGTCCATCCAGTCTTCCACCGCATCCCAGCTACTTACCGTCGCGAGCGCTCAGATACGCCAGTTGCAACAGTTCCAAGAAACTTCAGTCTGCTGCAACTCCAAGAACTACTTACAAAGGCCTAAGGGATTAGGAAGTTAGACTTCCATAACGCCAGTTGCACCAGCTCCAATAAATGTCATGTCTGCTGCAACTACAACACCTTCAAGGAGTTCTAAGGACTTGGGGAGTAGTCTATCCACTCACAGCTATCCTCTGCTTTTCCCCTCTAAAGTGCACGTCCATCCAGTTTTCCACTAAGATACACCAGTTGCACCAACTCTAAGAACTTCCTACCTATCTGCTGCAACTCCAAGAGCTACCTAAAAAGGCCTAAAAATTTTGACTCACAGCTATCCTCTGCTTCTCTCCTCCAGAAAGCACGTCCATCCAGTCTTCAACAGCGTCCCAGCCGCCGTCTCGAGCACTAAGATACGCCAGTTGCACCAGCTCCAAGAACTTTGTGAGCTGAGCGTCGGTGCGCCCCCGCCGGACCATCTCCTCGCGGGTTTGGGGGTAGATCACCTAAAAGGGTTTGGATAGTTTGCTGTAATCTGTATATTAAAAGACTAATCCATCAATACACAGGTCAAACTACTGAATGGATTACAAATTGGCACATATTATGACGTAGGCATCCGTTAAGAAAGGCTTTTTCGAAATCCAGTTCGTTAGGGAATGAAATAACGATTCCAAACATTAACGCGAGCGAAACTGCCGAATCCAAAGGTGATTCTAGAAAATTAACCCTTATAAGCAACACTGTTGACTGTTAATAGAAAGCAAACTGAGCCGGTTATTTTTTATTGGTCAAGCTGCTTCAGATGGTGGGAATAGTTCCGATCATACAAGGTGAGTTTATAGTGTGTATTTTAAAAAATTAACGTATTGGTATCTGGTAAGGACCACACCCACTTATGCCCATTTACCCTAAATAGGATTAATTGGAAGTTAAGTGACACAGATGAAGATGCTTTCCTAAAATTCCTATTTATTTGAGTCGTTGTTATTGAATCATTTAAGGCTAAAATTTTGATAGTTCACAAAGATTAAAAGACAAAACTTTAGTAACACGAACACATCTTTTCCACAAACCTGATCTCTAAGCGTGCCAAGAGTCATATACGGCCTCTGCGGCACATAGAACAGCTTGCCCTTGGGCGGCTTGGTGAGGGTCCCGCCGAAGATGGGCCACAGCTCTCCCAGCATTCGGAACATGGACGATTTGCCGCAACCGTTCGGTCCGCAGACAAGCACGTTCATTCCTGATCTGTAAAAAAACTTACATTAAAAAGGTATACACGTTGCTTCTCGACGTATGTCCGGTAAGTGCAACTTTCTTATTTATTTAATTAGATTCCTATAAGTGTTCTCGTTAAGAAGGAGAAGGAATAAAGCATTGGACATCAAGCAGGACACAAATGTAGCAAACTAAAGTACCTAGCAGTAAAGTCCGGCATATCTGCCGATAATGGAGTTAATGAATGGGTTTTCAAGTGGGGAATATGTTTTGACGGTCTATTCCACTTTGATCAACTGGCTTTGATCACCCAGGTGATCAAAGCGGACTCCAAGCGACAATTTGGTGTCCTTTGATTACCCATGGATAAGATGATCTGGGTATTCAAAGTGGACTGCAGTTAAATTATTATTTTTTAGGACATGAGACTATACAAGGATGTGTAATTTATTTATTCAAAGTAAAAAATTAATTCAAAGGAAACTAAATACAAATTAAAAATGTGTTTTGTTTCACTTCCACTGCTGGACAAAGGCCTTCCTCAAGGATTACCACAACGACCGGGAGGCCTTTAAAAATGTATTTTAAAAGATTTGTTAATATTCATAACACTAACTTGACTTCAAAGGAGAGCTCCTTGATGAGCACGTCTCCGTTAGGCGTGACGAGCGGCACGCGCTCGAAGCGGATGATCTTGTCCTGGTAGATGATACGGCCCGCGCCCGGCGCAAACAGCATCGGCGTGTCTGGAGGGAAATGTATCTTATGTGCTTGTGGATAGGTTATAGTTTGCAACGATCATGTAGTCTGATGTGATGTCGATTAATATATCAATCAATACGGCATCTTATGTCGTGAGGTCATAGGTGATATTTTGCAACAAAAATGCATAGACTGTACACTAATCACTTTTTAGATAGAGCTTATAAACCCATATCATGTGAGAGGTTTAGACTGGCAATTAAACTTGCCGAAGTTGGCTTCCGCAAGATGTATACCACTGTGTAAATAGCTGTGACAAGCCAACTTCTGCAAGATTTAAACAGTGGTGAACGCTTGCGGAAGTCAACTTATGCAAATTTTATTGCTAGTCTAAACCTCGCTTTAGATTCGACGTCGTATTCGTATCTGTAAACTCGAAAGCACGATCAGATAATACATTTATTGAAAGATAACTCTGAATACAAATTGGTTAATGATGAGTCTATCCTATAGTCCGCTAATAGTTCCTTTGGTCCAACATTGTCCAGTGCGTAGTACCGTAGTAATCTGATAATTAGGAGATGATTGTATGGGAATCGTATTCACTCACCAGACGCAGTGGTGCCATTCTGCGAGTTCCTATCGAGCATGGTCCTCTTGTGGTTCCCTTGGTACACTTCATCTAGCACTGTACGAAGTTGTGTGACTCGCGCCGTGAGCCCAGCCAGTTTGTTCATTAGGAGCTACATTACTTATATTCACTCACCAGACGTAGTGGTGCCATTCTGCGAGTTCCTATCAAGCATGGTCCTCTTGTAGTTCCCTTGGTACACTTCGTCCAACACAGTCCGTAGTTGCGTGACTCGCGCCGTGAGCCCAGCCAATTTGTTCATCTCGCGACCGGACAGAACGAGACGACCGATGCCTTCCGCCATTTTGACCATCATTCTTCCGTATGTGTAGTAGTGCTGGAGAATTTTTATGTAATAAAATAAAAAAAAAATATAAATTATTCATGTTAAAAATGATAATAGACATTGAGTTTTTTCGAGAACCATTGTCTATATTTAAAATAGGTTAAATGAAAGGCTAGTCGAAAAGCTGACTAACAAAAAACGTTTACTTTAGAATTAATTGTGAGAAGTTTGTTATTTTTAGGATTTTGTTTCATTGTAATAATAGCGGTTCGATTTTACTGTTAAATAAATGAACTTTTGATTAAACACAGAGAATGTTCAGGTAAACGCACCAAAATAACTTTTTCCCTGAGCCACCATTATAATAATAATAATTAAAAATATTATTATACCTTAAACCTATCATTTTCAGTTCCAGTTGTGAGCAGATTGTGGTTTTTGGCGAAAAACGGCCGCGATACGGCGTAGAAACCGACTGTGATTGCGACATCTGCAAAAAATAAAAATATAACAGGCTATTAAGAAGCTATGGCTATTAACTTACGATTTTAGCACAGTTTACTTAATTATTTGTCAGTCTTTTTCGAAGTTCAATATGCGATTTTGCAGTAAAAAGGTTGGTTATGACCGGTTATGAGTTTTGACTGTAACATATACAAAGAAATTTCGAAGAAAATGATGTTCCTCTTTGCAATAGGTACTATTTTAGAAGCAAAGGGAGAGATTTCTCCCAAATCTCTCGTGGCACAATCGATTTCATAAATATATTGGCAATGCCCAATGTTTCAAAATATTGTAGCGCAGTTACATAATATGTTAATGAACAGTTTATATGATTACATTTTATTGATGTTTGAGTTTGTATTGAAATATATGATCGTTAAAACGCTAAAATATTTTGAAACATTGGCACTGCCAATATATTTATGAAAGCGACTGTACCAGAGATGAGAACACAAGTAAATATTATTGTAATTATTCCATTAAACCTGTCCCACATAGCGCACCATAATAAGCATGTATTTTCTAGATAATTCAATGATTTGGTCAGAAACGAAAACCAACAGTGTCAATGTAAATGTATTCTTTAATTTGGATATTTATAACGTTGATAAACTAATTACAATTGCAAATAGGAATCAGTTCACCAGACAGACATTTTGTAACTCACAATAGATTAACCGCGCGGCGGGTTAAATGTCACTTGTATAGGTACTTTTATTTCCTTTACATTTGGAAATTTCACGTTTTACCTTGTATTTCATTATGTATGAGCGACTGTGACTGCATAAATATGGGACTTAAAAACTCTTTTTGAAGCTTACTTTCAGACACAATAATAAGCCCGTAATAAAATAAAACAATGTTTAAAACCCGAACAAAGTTACGAGCCTGTAATTGTTCCAAATATTGAAATTAAGCCTATTACTGGCTTGGAGTTAGCGAGCCTAAACCTTACATAATACTTACTACAGCTGCGAAAGAATCAAAGTTTACGAATTGCATTATGGTGGAACCTGTGGTGAAACTTTTCGGGTAAAATATGGGGAATCCTCTAATATTTGGCTTCCAACGGCACACAGCACAGCAACAATAGTTACCTAAATATGCACCGTATGTTAACGGGATATGCACCTAATTCGCTTCAAAACTAACACATATATCGGGACACGGACTACCTGAAATATGCACCGTATGCTAACGAGATACGGACCTTATTAGCTTTAAAACAAACTTACATTTAGCTATGATGTTGTCGATGAATCCCATAGCGACTCTGAAGTTTAGGAAGTTGCGTAGATGCCGCGTCAGCTTGTAGAAACTGGCGAGGAGAGTCAACTGCTCCCTGTGGTTGCCCTGAGGATATGTTCATACAAATGAGCATAAGATTTTACAAATAAAGCACGAAAGACCTCATAAAGAAAGAAAAAGAAAGAAAATAATTTTATTTCGGCAACAAAAGATATACACATAATTAAAAAAATAAAAAAGTTGCCAAAAAAGGTCACCCATTCTGTAACATCTGTAACAGTGTAACTGCCAAGCACTGATTTTCAGTGGGTGCCTTTTATGTCAGTCTGCCTCATCATTAAGTAATTTTATGTCTAGCACGTAACCTCAGTCCCAGCCTGAGGTATGAGAGCGATACGGGAGGGTGTTTTTGAGACGCCAAATGTTCTTCAGATTTGTCACATCGTAATTATGTCAATGTAATATATCAAACAAACGATGCTTGCTAAGTGAATAGAGCTCTGTGATTGGTTCGTGTGTCACCCTGTGCGTCCATGCGCACTATAAGACCTCATAGTAATGTTTGTGAATACGGGCGCCAGACACTGACTGAATTAAGTTCTATAGCTTCCACTGCTTCTTTACCAGAGGCAAATAGAGGATTTAAAAAAACTATCCTATACAAAATGGGGTAATTCTGGTGCTCAAATAACAACTTATTTATGGGGCCTTTATAATCTTATCAATTTATCTGACATTTGCTTCACGCAAGACTCATAAAGATTGTCAAAATCAATGACATCTTACTTCAGACATTCATAAATAAAAATACGACAAGTCAAACCTCACAGCGTCATAGATCAGTATGCCTAATGTACTGCTTCAAAGACATTTCTTAGCATAATATTTGAATAAATATCAATAATTACAAATAAACAAATAAATACGTAAATTGATTATTCATACACATTGAGACAGTCAACTCTGGTGGTTAAAGTGAAATCAACATTTACAGCATAATATTTACTTTGAAAAACACATCACTAGAGTTTCCCGTGACAGATTTTTGCTATGGAGTTATCAAACATCTCTGTATAGATCGTTTCATCCACGTAGACGCGCCCCACCAATTTTTGGTCGAGGGAAGCGCGGGGTGCGAGAAGTTTGTTCCGAGCAATCCGAGCGTCATTATTGTAATTGCGTGTGCACTCATGGATAATAGGGTGTATGTTTCCTGGGTCAAAAAGCAAGAGTTTTAATTAGTCCGTCAGTTAACTTATCAAAAAATACTCTACACGTATTTTTCCTTTTTTTTCAAAGTAATGAAAATTTAAAGAGATAAAGCGCGCCAAAGTTCATAAGAAGAGGCCTGTGACCTGTGCATAAAAGTGCCGCACGTTGTGACGTCGTGCGGAACTTCAACGCACCATAACTATGTAATTATTTGTTAGATTGACAAACAAAAATATATGTGTCGAATATTTTTTAATATTAATCATGACGGACTAAAAAAATTTTTTAATCCGTCATGTGTAATATCAAAAAATAAACTTTTGGAAACTAGCCTATTTAGCGTGTACCGATAACGCTCAAACATTAGCGGAAGAATGGTGGGGCGCGTCTTTGTGGATGAAACGATCTATAATAGTGCTGGGAATCTAAATAAAAAGAGAGAGAAGGGAGAGAGAGAGATTAGATTAAGCTTACCTGATAGAATGCGATCTCTTCTGAATTCGTTATGAGCCTTGCGTTTACGTATCTGAATTCGCCCTCCAGTTTCTGCTCCAAAACAGTCATTTTGGCTGAAAAGAGCATACATTTTATACTACATATTAGTTAACTGCTGCAGCTTCTATTATTTAAGCTCGCACACTCACTGCGGGCGTCCGTCGCACAGTCGCGACAGCAATATAATACGCGCGAGCGATAAGGATGGGTAGCTTGGGGTCAATGGACAAAAGTCTACGTGCTCAGCGACCAGACTATAGCGACAGACCACGCACCGCGGGCAAGTTAGTTCCATAACAAAAGGCTACGGGACTATTCCCACCTCTCGTCCCCACCGCTGCAACTCCTGTGCAGCCAGGATCTACAGCTTGACCGCCAATAAAAACCCAACCAGTGAAGGTCAAGTTTGTCCCGGAGAAAGTTAAACTGTCATTGGACCCGCAACGAAATTAATCAGAAGAACAAAGGAGGAGTTCGAAGTTAAGGTTCGACTTACCTCCAGTGCAAAGCGGATGACAGGTGACAAAACAAAGGTTTAAGTAATCTTTAAGATATGCACCACTAACAAAAGGCTAGTTAATGTAATAATAACCAATCATAAATACCTGTGGGTTTTCTGAGGAATGTTAGGAATACTCCTGATACCAGTAGGTACGCCACCATGATTCCGGGTGTCTGAAAAAAGGGAATCCAAATATAAAAATATGCATTAATATCCATACTAACCGGGTTATCAGGATGAGATAGATATTAGATACTCTTTATTGCACACTACACATAATGGATATGTAAAAGAAATACAAAATTGAAACACAAAAGTTAGTTAGGTGGTTTTATCGCTAGGAAGCGCTCTTTTCCATACAACCCAGATGGGTTCCTTCCTAGGAAGGAACCGATCTTATCTCTAGAGATAAGATCGACTAAGGCCCGATTCGACCAAACTTTTATCCGAGAACAACTCCTGGTATAACTGTATTCAGTATGGGAAATATGTAAAAATGACAAGTTTATTCTGAGATTAATATTTACGCTTGTTTGGTCGAATCCACCCTAAATAAAGAAAGGTCGCTAAAAATATTTATTTTTACCAGACTGCGCTAGAATAAGGGTTATTAACTAAGTTTTTTTGCATTGTTCAAAAATAGCTATCTATTCATATGTACATGCTAAAGTTTATTATCTTCCAACTCAGGTTTTCGTACAGATTTAATTCCATTTATTTAAAAATTATCGATAATTTTTCAATATATTTTTATCCTTATTCCACGTGATTAAGGAAAACAATGGCTTGTTTCAGTTATTCATAGAACACACACATACACAGATCATACATACATCATACGCAGATTTTTCGTTGCATCTTCATTATAGGTATTTGGCTATTGTTGTTGTATCTTTAAGATATTGGTACAAGACAATGAAATGTAACATGTTAATTTATTTAGTTTACAAATTTTAATGTTAGTTTACAGACGTCATCAGCGTGTTTTTACATTATAAAGAATAACACATAGCTCGTTTATATTGACAAGCTTTAAGAATATACATTTTATTTTTAATGAAGAACAAAAGAAAAAAAGAATCCAAAAAAATAATTGTGGAAAAATCTGGCGAAAAAATCAGGGCATTTGACTGAGCGATGTAGTCCACTTAGAGCACTCGCCCAAATAGCACCTGGCCTTGTCCACCATATCCTACCTGTCTCTCTCTGTTTGTCGACAAAAATGTAAAAATAATGAATCCACGAACAGCGATATCGATAGGTAATATGTATGTATTAAAAAAAAAAAGTATATAAGTAGTGTATCCGTCAAGCTAGCACCCATAACACAAGCATTAAGTTGCTTACTTTGGGGCTAGCTGGCGCTGTGTGAGATTGTCCAAAGATTTATTTATTATTTATTCGTGGACTAAGCCAGGTGCTATTCGTGCGGGTGATATTTGGACAATTCTAGAGCGATGGTTGGAATAAGATCAAGATCAAATATCATTTAACTTTCGTCTATAAACAGCCTAACAAACTTGACCTTC